GGACCACATGTCCGCCTGCCCAGGTCTCTTTGCAGCCCTGCCCAGCTCATCCGTTTTAATTCTTTTAACTCATCATCTGCGAATAGGGACACTTCAGAGTCTATTCCTTCCATCATGTCGTTCGCATATATCAAAAATAGCACTGGCCCTAGAACTGACCCCTGTGGGACCCCGCTCGTCACAGGCGCCCACTGTGATACCTCTTCACGTACCATGACTCATTGCTGCCTCCCTGTCAGGTATTCCCTGATCCATTGCAGTGCCCTCCCTGTTACATGCGCCTGATCCTCTTGCTTCTGCACTAATCTCTTGTGGGGAACTGTGTCAAATGCCTTCCTGCAGTCTAGGAAAACGCAATCAACCCACCCCTCTCTCTCGTGTCTTACTTCTGCTACCTTGTCATAAAACTCCAGAAGGTCTGTGATACAAGATTTGCCTTCCATGAACCCATGCTGGTTTTCATTTATAATTTTGTTCCGTTCCAGGTGTTCGACCACTCTCCTCCTGATAATCTTCTCCATGACTTAGCACACAATACATGTCAGAGACACAGGTCTGTAGTTTAGCGCCTCGTTTCTGTTTCCTTTCTTAAATATGGGGACTACATTTGCTGTCTTTCATTTCTCAGGTAGTTGCCCAGTTTCAATGGATGTGTTGAAGATTGTGGTTAGAGGCACGCACAGCATCTCTGCTCCTTCTCTAAGGACCCATGGGGAGATGTTGTCCGGTCCCATCGCCTTTGAGGTATCAAGGTCACTTAGCAGCTTCTTCATCTCCTCCTCGGTTGTTCGTATGTCATCCAACACTTAGTGGTATATTCCCTCTTGATATTCCCTTCTGTGCTGACTTCCCAGAGCCCTTCCTGTCTCTACTGTAAAAACTTCCTTAGATCTCCTGTTTAGCTCCTCACATACCTCCTGGTCATTTTTGTGAGTTCTCCCCCTTCTGTCCTTAATCTGATCACCTGGTCTTTAACTGTTGTCTTCCTCCTGATGTGGCTATACAACACTTTCGGGTCAGTCTTGATTTTCGATGCTATGTCATTTTCATACTGTCGCTGGGCCTCCCTCCTTACCTGTGTGTACTCGTTCCTGGCTCTGCGACTGATCTCCCTATTTTCGCGTGTTCTCTGCCTTCTATACTTTTTCCATTCTCTATTGCACTTTTGTTTTTGCCTTCTTACACCGTCGGGTAAACCAGGGGCTCGTTTCTGGTCTTCCCGTTGTTTCTGTTGCCCTTGGGAATAAACCTTTCCACTGCCTCTTGCATTTTGTTGTTACATATTCTATCATTTCATTTACTGGCTTTCCTGCCAGTTCTCTGTCCCACAGGACCTCCTGCAGGAAGTTCCTCAACCCTATGTAGTCCCTCTTTTATAGTCAGGCTTTTCCCATTCAACTCCTGTTACTCTCTCCACTTGCAGCTCTATTATATATTCAAAGCACGAACCACGTGGTCGCTAGCTCCTTAGGGGACTCTCATACGTGATGTCCTCAATGTCTGAACTGCCACGGTGAACACAAGGTCCAATCTTGCTGGTTCATCCTCCCCTCTCACTCTGGTAGTGTGCTTAACATGTTGGTGCATGAGGTTTTCCAGCACCACATCCATCATCTTGGCTCTCCATGTTTCGGGACCCCCATGTGGCTCCAGGTTTTCCCAGTCAATCTCCCTGTGGTTGAAATCCCCCATAACCAGCAACTTTGCTCTGCTGGTGTGAGCTCTTCTTGCCACCTCAGCAAGTGTGTGCACCATTGCTCTGTTGCTCTCTTCATATTCCTCTCTTGGCCTCCTGCAGTTCTGTGGTGGATTATACATCACTGCAATGACCACCTTGTGTTCCCCAGACTGAAGTGTACCTACTATGTAGTCTCTTATATCCCATCTCATCTATGCCTTCCATTTTCTCGAATTTCTATCTGTTTTTTACTAGCAGAGCAACCCCACCTCCCCCTCTGCCCCTTCTGTCTTTCCTCATGATCTGGTATCCTGGTGGGAAGATTGCATCTGTTACTGTCCCCGTGAGTTTTGTTTCTGTAACTGCTATGATGTCTGGGGACTTCTCATTGATTCTTTCTTGCCATTCCTATGTTTATTCGTTAATCCATCTGCATTTGTGTACCAAACCTTCAACTTCTGTTCTAATACTGTAACTGTGGGAACAGAGGGATCGCTGTGTGATGGTTGGTTTGGATTGTTCAGTTGCCTTGGGGGTGTCGTGGCTGGGGTCCTTCTGCAGGTGTTTCTGGGGGTTGTGCTTGTCCTTCCACTTGTTCCTTGGTTATTCTGCTCTCCTTTTTCATTTCCTCCCATTTCTCCTTTCATTTCTGAAGTCTCTCTTTCATCGTCTTCCTTTCCTCCTGTGTTCTGTCTCGATTGAGGTACACAGTCATGAACTCCTGCTTGCCTCTCAGCAGTGCTTTCTCCTGCAGGATCATGGTTCGGGTTGATTCTGCCTTGAAAATTACTTTGAGAGGCCGATTCCTTTTCTTTGTGAACCACCCAATTCTCCAAAAATTTGCCACCTGGGCCATTTCCCCCTCACCTATCACCTGCATGATACCTTCAATCGCTTTTTTTCTCCTCCTGCTTTCTTTCCTCATAAGTTTCCCCTTTAGCTTCGTCTAGCCCATAGACAAACACTGATCTCCCCCTTTCCACCTCCCACTGTGACTCCCATTGCATCCTCTGATGTGTTTTAGTTCCTTCCCGTGGAGTGTTCCTTCCTTCAGTCCCTTCCCTAGCTATGGCCCCTATGCTCCTTGGTTTCTTCTTCCTGCTCACCTGTTCTTGGCCCCCACAGGTGTCTAGTAAGGTCCCTGCACATGTCCTAGTTCCTTCAATGTCTTCCAACCTCACATTTTGTCCTAGTGTGCTCCCTATCTTTGTTTTGGCCTCATGTGGGTTTGATAGGACCTCTGCATACAGTTTAGTTTCCATGCTCCCTTCAGACCCGTTGTCTGTGTCTGATGTAGCCATTGCCGATGCTACTTCTGTAATATCTTTGTCTTTATGCTGTTTCAGATGTCTCAGCTCCTCTTCTAATCTCTTTATCTTGTTTAATGCTGTTGTGGCATGTTGCTTCCACCTTCTGCATTCTGCTTCTAACCTCTCTTCCATCTTCCTTACCAGCTCTTCTAGTCTCCTTCCCCAGTCTTCCTCCCTTTTTTTGAGCTCTGCTTCCCAGTCCTCCCCCCCAAATTCGTCCTTCGAGCCCCTTGTTCTCATCCTAGTTCTAGGTTCCCCTGTTGCTCCACAGAAGGAAGTGGGGGGGGTTAGGGGGAGGGGAATAGATGGTTGGGGGGAGAGGGGATGGATGGTTATGGGGAGGGGGAGGATGGTTATTGGAGGGGGAGAGGTCGTTGGAGAGGGGGTTTAGATGGTTTGGGGGATGGGTAGGTGGCTAGGGTGAGGTGGTTAGGGAAGGGGGAGAGGTGGTTAGGGAGGGGGGAGTACGTGCTTGAGAGAGAGAGGGGATGGTGGTTATAGGGGAGGGGGAGGGTAGTTATTGGAGGGGAGGTAGTTGGGGAGGGGAGGGTGCTTATTGGAGGGGGAGGTAGTTGGGGGAGGGGGTTTAGATTGTATGGGGGAGGGGTTTAGATGATTTGGGGAGGGGGAGGGCTAGGTGAGGTGGTTAGGGAAGGGGGAGAGGTGGTTTAGGGGAGGGGGGTACAGTGTTTGTGTCAAGTGTATATGTGCTTGTGTATGTGTGTGTGTGTGTGCACGTGCGTGTGTGTGTGTTCACGCGTGTGTGTGTGTGTGTGTGTATGTGGTGTGTGTGTGTGTGTGTGTGTGTGTGTATGTGTGTGTGTGTGTGTGTGTGTGTGTGTGTGTGTGTGTGTGTGTGGTGTGTGTGTGTGTGTGTGTGTGTGTGTGTGTGTGTGTGTGTATTCGCTAGTTAGTTACCATATTGTCCTAGTGCAGGTGTGTGTGTATGTTTGTGTATGTGTGTATATGTGTGTATATGTGTGTGTTTGTGTGTGTGGGGGAGGTGTGAGGGGGAGATACTGCTAATACATACCAGTAATTCTGGGTTATAAAAAGCGGAACTTGCTACTAGGGTCTAAAGCTTCTATGAGTGTCTACCCTTGTGTGTGTGTGCGTGTGTGTGAGGGAGGGATGGTTAGTGGGGGGTATGTGGTGTGGTTGAAAGATCCTTTATACCTCTCTGTCGTGTAGGCTCAAATTTATTCTCAGCTATCTTTCCAAGTAATGCTACTCTCTCCACTTATTGCTCTTTCTGGATTTAAGTATCAATTATTGCTGGTTATTATCATATTCCTTGTTCACATTGAGAGAGGACTTCCTAGCTTCCTAAGTATTCATACTGCTAATAACTACCGGTAGAAACACTGCCTTACCCCTACGTTACCACTCGCTAGTCTGCTGACCTCCTCACACTCTCCTCAACACTATCTTCACTTTAACTATGCTATTTCTACACTAATTCTGGTAATATCTTGCAGGAGTGAGTGACCAGTGTCTAACAGTGATGCAAGGCCAGACGCCAGGATGCAACATGCAAACCACAATAGGTGAGTGAGTACTTGCTCTGCATGGTGCGGTGACAAGTTGCCAGATGCTGATGACGTAGTCGTCATACTTAGGCCTTCTTTCACTATATTGGAGATCCTTCACCCGTGATGTTTATAACCATATATGCTCATACATCCCGCGTTCATCACACAATGTCACTTTTCACTTATGATAGTATACACTTATATACACTTCACTTTATATGTATAATGGCACACAACTTGTTGTGACGTCACTGCCTCAGTAGGCCTACGACTGCCACCTTCCCTTGTTGTATATTTTATTTTCCCTTTCTCTTTTTTTTTTTCCTTTTTCCCTCTCACTGTATGGTGCCCCACATTACACTTGTTAACCAAACGCTGGTAATTCTTGAACTCCCGCTTCCACACTCGCTTTGATCTTTGTATATTTGAATCTGTGTGGTAACAGCGCCTAGTAAACCCACAACGGTTTATCACTTTGAAATATTACTGATTCCAGGCTTCCTCTGGACTTGTTTTAACTAATAACTTTGGTTATCACTCGTAGGATTGTTCACTGACGTTGTCACTACCACTGATTACTGCTAGCAGTTGTTGCACGCCTTAAAACACTAAGGTTCTCGGAGCCTTGTGCCCCCACGTCTGCACGGGATACCTGACCTGACCTGTGTGTGCATGTGTACTCACCTAGTTGAGGTTGCGGGGGTCGAGTCCGAGCTCCTGGCCCCGCCTCTTCACTGATCGCTACTAGGTCACTCTCCCTGAGCCGTGAGCTTTATCATACCTCTGCTTAAAGCTATGTATGGATCCTGCCTCCACTACATCGCTTCCCAAACTATTCCACTTACTGACTACTCTGTGGCTGAAGAAATACTTCCTAACATCCCTGTGATTTATCTGTGTCTTCAGCTTCCAACTGTGTCCCCTTGTTACTGTGTCCAATCTCTGGAACATCCTGTCTTTGTCCACCTTGTCAATTCCTCTCAGTATTTTGTATGTCGTTATCATGTCCCCCCTATCTCTCCTGTCCTCCAGTGTCGTCAGGTTGATTTCCCTTAACCTCTCCTCGTAGGACATACCTCTTAGTGGTGTGTGTGTGTGTGTGTGTGTGTGTGTTAGTTTTGTGTGTGTGTGTGTGTGTGTTTTTGTGTGTGTGTGTGTGTGTGTGTGTGTGTGTAAATCCATTATGCAGAAACAAGTGGAGGCACATACAGACATAGATCGCAGTCATCGGGATTCGAAACCACATGAGGGGAATCTGTCAAGGTTTCCTCAAGTGATGCTGTAGACCACTCAGCCACAGATGCCACAAAAGCTAGGCAGCCTGGGTTACAAGCCATGTTTCTTCCCAGCCCGGGCACACCAGTGGGTCTCAAGCATGGCGTCAAGCTACAGCAGGTCCTCGAATAACATCGTTTCGTTATAACGTTGATAAAAAAAATCGAACGAGTATACATTAACCATACAAACGCACGGCAATAAACGATGTTGTATGAAAGCAGAATCCGCCATATTTGTTGTTTGTTTTTGAACTGCATGGTGGTAGGAGGTGATACTTACAATTATCGGTTTGCAAACAAATATTCCCTGATTTAACCCTTTGCGATGACCTTTAAAGGTGCATTGTGCACCCTTGATGTCTGTGACCAACACACACAATTTGCCTATGGTAAAATTGCTTTCGTTATATGTCGTTTCTCTTAAAGTTACAATTTCCAAGAGCCTGTCGATGATGTTAAATAAGGAATTACCATATTTCATTTTGCTCCTGTATGTTTTGATCTCACAAGTAATTTTATATCAATGCACCACGCAAAAACAAGCGGAGTTATGTATAGGGAAAGATCGCCTAGCTTTTGTGGCATCTGTGGCTGAGTGGTCTGAAGCGTCACTTTGGGAACTTTGCCAGACTTCCCTCCGCTTGTTTCTGTGTGGTCCATTGATATAAAAATCGCTTGTGAGGTCAGAACATAAAAGAGAAAGAAATAGCCTGACACCATGCTTGAGACCCACTGGTGTGGGAAGAAACATGGCTTGCAAACCAGGCAGCCCAGCTTTTGTGGCATCTGTGGCCGAGTGGTCTAGAGCGTCACTTAGGGAACTTTTGCCAGATTCCCCTGATGTGATTTCGATCCTGATATCCTGATGACTGCGATCCATTCTGCTGATAATATATATCTATTTATATATTCATATATATATATATATATATATATATATATATATATATATATATATATATATATATATATATATATTATATATATATATATATATATATTATATATTATTATATATATATATATATAATATATATGCACACACACATAATATGACCTCTGTCACATGGTGGACACTACAATAGACTCCCTTCTAAAACTGTTCCAAATCAATTCAATCTTTCTGGTACCCCTGAGTTTATTATTTTTCAAATTCGATTCAACTACTTCTAGTAAATAATCTCATAGCAGACAGAGAAAAAGAAACCTTTTTTCAACTTATGGGCACTTGGAAATTCCAATAGCATTGGAGGACACTTTAGTAGCACTGCAGAAGGGGACTTCAGTAACACTGCGGAAGAGGACTTCAATAACACTGCAGAAGGGACTTCAATAACACTGCAGAAGGGGACTTCAATAGCACTGCAGAAGAGGACTTCAATAACACTACAGAAGGGGACTTCAATAGCACTGCAGAAGAGGACTTCAATAACACTGCAGAAGGGGACTTCAATAGCACTGCAGAAGAGGACTTCAATAACACTGCAGAAGGGGACTTCAATAACACTGCAGAAGGGGACTTCAATAACACTGCAGAAGGGGACTTCAATAACACTGCAGAAGGGGACTTCAATAACACTGCAGAAGGGGACTTCAATAGCACTGCAGAAGAGGACTTCAATAACACTGCAGAAGAGGACTTCAATAACACTGCAGAAGGGGACTTCAATAGCACTGCAGAAGTGGACTTCAATAACACTGCAGAAGGGGACTTCAATAGCACTGCAGAAGAGGACTTCAATACCACTGCAGAAGGGACTTCAATAACACTGCAGAAGGGGACTTCAATAGCACTGCAGAAGAGGACTTCAATAACACTGCAGAAGGGGACTTCAATAACACTGCAGAAGGGGACTTCAATAACACTGCAGAAGTGGACTTCAATAACACTGCAGAAGAGAACTTCAATAACACTGCAGAAGGGGACTTCAATAACACTGCAGAAGGGGACTTCAATAACACTGCAGAAGGGGACTTCAGTAACACTGCAGAAGAGGACTTCAATAACACTGCAGAAGGGGACTTCAATAACACTGCAGAAGGGGACTTCAATAACACTGCAGAAGAGGACTTCAATAACACTGCAGAAGGGGACTTCAATAACACTGCAGAAGGGGACTTCAATAACACTGCAGAAGGGGACTTCAATAACACTGCAGAAGGGGACTTCAATAACACTGCAGAAGGGGACTTCAATAACACTGCAGAAGGGGACTTCAGTAACACTGCAGAAGAGGACTTCAATAACACTGCAGAAGGGGACTTCAGTAACACTGCAGAAGAGGACTTCAATAACACTGCAGAAGGGGACTTCAATAACACTGCAGAAGGGGACTTCAATAGCACTGCAGAAGGGGACTTCAATAACACTGCAGAAGGGGACTTCAATAGCACTGCAGAAGGGGACTTCAATAACACTGCAGAAGAGTACTTCAATAACACTGCAGAAGGGGACTTCAATAACACTGCAGAAGAGGACTTCAATAACACTGCAGAAGAGGACTTCAATAACACTGCAGAAGGGGACTTCAATAACACTGCAGAAGGGGACTTCAATAACACTGCAGAAGAGGACTTCAATAACACTGCAGAAGAGTACTTCAATAACACTGCAGAAGGGGACTTCAATAGCACTGCAGAAGAGGACTTAAATAACACTGCAGAAGAGGACTTCAATAACACTGCAGAAGGGGACTGCAATAACACTGCAGAAGGGGACTTCAATAACACTGCAGAAGGGGACTTCAATAACACTGCAGAAGGGGACTTCAATAACACTGCAGAAGGGGACTTCAATAGCACTGCAGAAGAGGACTTCAATAGCACGGCAGAAGGGACTTCAATAACACTGCAGAAGGGGACTTAAATATCACTGCAGAAGAGGACTTCAATAGCACTGCAGAAGGGGACTTCAATAACACTGCAGAAGGGTACTTCAATAACACTGCAGAAGGGGAGTTCAATAAGACTGCAGAAGAGAACTTCAATAACACTGCAGAAGGGGACTTCAATAGCACTGCAGAAGAGGACTTCAATAACACTGCAGAAGGGGACTTCAATAACACTGCAGAAGGGGACTTTAATAACACTGCAGAAGAGGACTTCAATAACACTGCAGAAGGGGACTTCAATAGCACTGCAGAAGAGGACTTCAATAACACTGCAGAAGGGGACTTCAATAACACTGCAGAAGGGGACTTCAATAACACTGCAGAAGGGGACTTCAATAACACTGCAGAAGGGGACTTAAATAACACTGCAGAAGAAGACTTCAATAACACTGCAGAAGGGGACTTCAATAACACTGCAGAAGGGGACTTTAATAACACTGCAGAAGAGGACTTCAATAACACTGCAGAAGGGGACTTCAATAGCACTGCAGAAGAGGACTTCAATAACACTGCAGAAGGGGACTTCAATAACACTGCAGAAGAGGACTTCAATAACACTGCAGAAGAGGACTTCAATAACACTGCAGAAGGGGACTTCAATAACACTGCAGAAGGGGACTTCAATAACACTGCAGAAGAGGACTTCAATAACACTGCAGAAGAGTACTTCAATAACACTGCAGAAGGGGACTTCAATAGCACTGCAGAAGAGGACTTCAATAACACTGCAGAAGGGGACTTCAATAACACTGCAGAAGGGGACTTCAATAACACTGCAGAAAGGGACTTCAATAACACTGCAGAAGAGGACTTCAATAACACTGCAGAAGAGGACTTCAATAACACTGCAGAAGGGGACTTCAATAACACTGCAGAAGGGGACTTCAATAACACTGCAGAAGAGGACTTCAATAACACTGCAGAAGAGGACTTCAATAACACTGCAGAAGGGGACTTCAATAACACTGCAGAAGGGGACTTCAATAAACACTGCAGAAGAGGACTTCAATAACACTGCAGAAGAGGACTTCAATAACACTGCAGAAGAGGACTTCAATAACACTGCAGAAGAGGACTTCAATAACACTGCAGAAGAGGACTTCAATAACACTGCAGAAGAGGACTTCAATAACACTGCAGAAGGGGACTTCAATAACACTGCAGAAGAGGACTTCAATAACACTGCAGAAGGGGACGTCAATAACACTGCAGAGAGACGCTTCTATGTTGCAGTGTCATGATCACTCTCATCAGAATATTACAAATGTGGAAAATTTTTAATTTTCTTAAATTCAGCAAGTGTAAATTTTAATAATATGATAATTGTGTATTAAACTGTAATGTTGATTTGACCCTTTGAGAAATTTGTTGTGAATGAGGGTGTGCAGCGGCCGCGGAGTGATACAAGGGAGGACGCCATAGTGAATTAATGTGTGAGAACTGGTTGTGGTGAAATTGTCTAGCAATCCGGCTTCATCGACGCCATAATTGAATGGATCAACCTTAACCTATAATTAATTAATAAGTACTGGAATGTCTCCTGTTGAAGAACAGGGACAGAGAATTTGCAGGACCTCCAGAATTAGGTGGTGATAGTGGAAATTATGAGACGTTGCCATGCAACACATTCAGAGTGTACGTCATTATTCCTTTCATTCAGATTTCTCGCTGGCCAGTAAGATTCTGTTTGTTAGGTAGGCATTGTGGGGTGATCCAATTGCAATATAAGTAGTAATATAAATTTCTTAATTATCAAACGTTTCGTTCATATGTGCCTTGTGTCAATTAGAAATTTCTTACCAAGTCTGTTTTTTAGTTCAATATGTTTATTATGCACCCTATACCCATCCTGTGGACGGTAGTCAAAGGATTACAGAGATACATAATGGGTCTAGGGACTGGACCCATTACGTTTTGATAGCTGAGCAGGTTACTAAGGTAATGAACTCCAGGTAGATCAGGTCATAATCATGACAAGTTCCGAAGGTATTTACAGAATACAGAGGTACATAATGGGTCCAGGGACTGGGCCCCAAAGTTTTGATAGCTGAACTAGGAACGAAGGTAATGAACTCACAAGTTACAAAGGTAATGAATCATTTAAGTAAATTTACTTACTTACGTTTATACATGGCTTCAATCATGAAGAAATTATAAAGTAATGAGCAAATGCTAATTGTTGAGTCACACACGCACACACACACACACACACACACACACACACACACACACACACACACGAGTATACATACACATGAGGAGGAGGTGAAGAAGCTGCTAAGGGACATCGATATTTCAAAGGCAAAGGGACCGGACATCTCCCCGTGGGTCCTTAGAAAGGGAGCGGATATGTGTGTGCCACTTACCACAATCTTCAACACATCCCTGGAAACTGGGAAACTACCTGAGGTATGGAGACGGTAAATGTAGTTCCCATTTTTAGAAAAGGAGACAGAAAAGAGGCATTAAACTATAGACCTGTGTCACTGACGTGTATAGTATGCAAAGTTATGGAGAAGATTATCAGGAGGAGAGTGGTGGAGCACCTGGAACGGAACAAGAGTATAAACGCCAACCAGCACGGATTCATGGAAGGCAAATCCTGTGTCACAAACCTTCTGGAGTTTTATGATAAAGGAACAGAAGTAAGACACGAGAGAGAGGGGTGGGTTGATTGTATCTTCTTGGACTGCAAGAAGGCCTTTAACACAGTTCCTCACAAGAGATTAGTGCAGAAGCTAGAGGATCAGGCTCATATAACAGGAAGGGCACTGCAATGGATCAAATAATACCTGACAGGGAGGCAACAACGAGTCACGGTACGTAATGAGGTATCACAGTGGGCGCCTGTGACGAGCGGGGTCCCACAGGGGTCGGTCCTAGGACCAGTGCTATTTTTGGTATATGTGAACGACATGATGGAAGGGTTAGACTCAGAAGTGTCCCTGTTCGCAGACGATGTGAAGTTAATGACGAGAATTAAATCAGATGAGGATCAGGCAGGACTTCAAAGAGACCTGGACAGACTGGACACCTGGTCCAGCAACTGGCTTCTCGAATTTAACCCCGCCAAATGCAAAGTCATGAAGATAGGGGAAGGGCAAAGAAGACCGCAGACGGAGTATAGGCTAGGTGGCCAAAGACTGCAAACCTCGCTCAAGGAGAAAGACCTTGGGGTGAGTATAACACCGAGCATGTCTCCGGAAGCACACATCAACCAGATAACTGCTGCAGCATATGGGCGCCTGGCAAACCTGAGAACAGCGTTCCGATACCTTAGCAAGGAATCGTTCAAGACACTGTACACCGTGTACGTCAGGCCCATACTGGAGTATACAGCACCTGTTTGGAACCCGCGCTTGATCAAGCACGTCAAGAAATTAGAGAAAGCGCAAAGGTTTGCGACAAGGTTAGTTTCAGAGGTTAAGGGAAATCGGCCTGACGACACTGGAGGACAGGAGGGTCTGGGAAGACATAACGACATATAAAATACTGGGCGGAAAAGACAAGGTGGACAAAGACAGGATGTTCCAGGGAGGGGACACAGAAACAAGAGGTCACAATTGGAAGTTGAAGACTCAGATGAGTCAAAGGGATGTTAGGAAGTATTTCTTCAGTCACAGACTAGTCAGGCAGTGGAATAGCCTAGAGAGTGATGTAGTGGAGGCAGGAACTAGACATAGTTTTAAGACGAGGTTTGATAAAGCTCATGGAGCAGGGAGAGAGAGGACCAAGTAGCAACCGGTGAAGAGGCGGGGCCAGGAGCTAAGACTCGGCCCCGGCAACCACAAATAGGCGAGTACAAATAGGTGAGTACACACGAGCACAAGCACTCACACATATATGAGTGAATAAACACACATGCAAATGCACACAAGCGCACACACAAAAACACACACACACACACGTGGTAATGCTTTATTTACATCTAGCAAAGTCAGGGTATTTCTCCAGAATGGTAATATACCACTGTGGATAAAATACTTTGACATTTCTGAGTGAGTTGTTTCTAAATTCATTAATTTTATCACACTCCAGTACATAATGACGCAAGGTGTGACAATAGTCCATCTGGCAAAGTTTACATTTCGTTTGGTCGACATCTGGTGGTGGTGATTTAACCTGCCAAAGATACTTGTAACCCAGCCGGAGCCGGGCGGTAGTGATATCCAAGAGTCGGCTTATTTTGTTGGATGCACCATAGACATGTGGCTCCTTCTGCATGATAGAATGATGATAGATGGACTGACTGGTGTCAGTCTCCCTCAGTCTCAAGTGAATAACATTCATTTGAAGTTCTTTTCGTATTATTGTTCTCAAACTGCTAACAAGCCAAGATTGTAATCTACCCCCTTTTTGAAAGCATACAGCTTAGCCAATTTATCAGTTCTGTAATGCATCTGAAGACCAATGAAGGCAAATTCATTAGTTTTATCGTGCATCCCGACTCCACTGTCCACAATCTTACCATACCTGTGTCAGGCTTCTGACACAAGCATGCTACAATTTATACTTAATGAACTGAGACCATTTATGGATGACAGAGAACCAGCGGAGAAGTTCCGCTATTGCCTTGCTTGACATAGATCGTGCAGCTGGTTCATACGGGAGGTCGGTACCAGTTTTTTCGATCCATCTGGAGGGGTGTTCACCAGTGCTGAGGAAAGTTTGGAGGGCTTCTGTGCAGGGGTTTGGATGGGCTTCCCATTAATTCTTTCTGGAGTTAGTTTCCTTTAATTTTCATACAGTCCATTCTATTTTATATTTACCATTATTGATATTAACATTTAATACTGTAATTATTAGTCGGGTCAAGTTTTTTTGCGAGTGTGATGAAGGAGTGGGCATCGAGGAAGTGACAGTCCTGTGACCTACTGTGACTAAAGTCCCATTTACCTCACCCAAATTACTTACATGTAATAATTTAGGTAATACCCTGTAAACCTTATGCAGGTAATTTTTCACAACAAATGGCAAATAAAATTAAAAATATATTATAAAATAGTCTTTTATATATATATAATTTATTCACATTTATACACGTGACATGATTTTGTTAATAAAAAAAAACATTTAAAAATGTTCTGAGCGGTGATGATATCATGAGAATGTTATGGTGAGAGGTGACGACATCATGAGAATGTTATGGAGAGAGGGGATGACATAAGAATGACTCAAGTATCAGGTACTATAAGCTGGCTTGAAGCTTAAGTCTGATGATGTGAACCATCGCTTGCAACACTGTACTGCACAACATGTCAACGATGTGACAGTGGGGATCATGAGACAAATTGATGCCCTTACTGTGAGTAGCAACGTTATCTGACACTAAGTTACTTCACTGTAGCTACCTGCTTTCTAGTTCTGGATAGGAAATTGAGGCATGGAGAATTTAATTGGCTGTGAAGAATGAGACGAAGAAATAAATTAATTTCACTCCTAAGAATGAAGATGATATGCGCGGCAAGGAGGCACTGCACGTGTTATCATTGTTAGGTGAGAACTAGACCAGCTGCGATGTCTCCACCAGAGCTGAGACGTCACCAGAGGGTCTACACGGGGGCTGAGAGGTTATCAGGGAGTCTTCACTAGTGCTGGGGGCTCGCCGTGGAGTCACCACTAGGTTGTGTCGCAGCTGTCCACACTGGAACTATAACGTGCTCCACTGACAAGGTCCATCCCCGCTAAATATTCGCTCCTTCTCCGGCAGGATTCCTTCCAAGTACTCGTCCAGCGCCTGGAGTGCTGGTACTGAGTGGCCCACACCTCGGAAAGCGATGGTTGCGTCCCTTCCAGCGTATTCCATGATAACGTCCTCACCACCCGGGTGCTCCAACAGGAACTTTGTCACATCGAACACCTGTTGTTGATAATGTTACCAGAGATTAACAAACAATGTGCAAAAAACATTAAAGTGTAATGAACAATGCTCAATGGCACAAACTAAAAAAAAAAAAAGTTGATTAATGTATTTTGCGGCGTCACACAAACTCGGTTGTTTGCAGGAGAGTGCCAGTGTGAGGCAGATATTTCCAATACTCGTCTTTTGCTTTATTTTGTCTGTGTAGTTTCTTATGCGTTATGCACGTACAACTTTTATAGGTAAAACTTGCGATTTTGGCTCAAATAGAAAAGTTCTTCTTGCCGAACAAGGCAAGCGAAAATTTATGTACGCAATAATTTCGCAAAAAATATTCTGAACCTAACGAAAAAAATATATTTCATTGCGTTTACTATTAAATTATTGTAAACTTATCTAAAATATATTTAGTTGGATTAGGCTAAATTAAATTGCGCTTATTATAATAAGGTTAGGTAAGTTTTCTAAAATTCTTTTGGTGCAAAATTATAATTTTTTACATTAACATTAATGAAAATAATATATCTTTAAACATATAAGAGAAAATTTAGAAAGGACTTAATTGTAAATGAGTTCTTGCTAATTGATCAGTTTTACATATTAGGGAGGTACTACCGTCCTGCCAAGTGAGTGTGAATGGAAACTTAATTGCTTTACATGATGGCAGGATTGCTGGTGTCTTTTCTGTCTCAAACATGCTGGATAACAGGTACGTCTTTCTACTTCTACTGACACTTAGGTCACATTACAAATGCATGTACACACATATACACACCCATTACATTTTCTTCTATTTTCTTGATAGTTCTTGTTCTTCTTTGTTTCCTCTTATCCTCATGCGGAAATGGATAAGAATTCTTCCTCCGAAAGCCACGCGTGTCGTAAGGGCGACTAAAATACCAGAAGGGGCTAGTAACCGCTTCTGTATAAATTGCTAAATTTAAAAAGAAAAATATTTTCGTTTTTCCTTTTAGGTCACCCTGCCTCGGTGGGATATGCCCAGCTCATATTGTGTGCGTGTGTACTCACCTAATTGTGGTTGCAGGGGTCGATACTCAGCTCCTGACCCCGCCTCTTCACTGAGCACTACTAGGTCTTCTCTCTCCCTGCTCCATAAGCTCTCTCTTAAAGCTATGTATGGTTCCTGCCTCCACTACCTCACTTGCTAGACTGTTCCACTTCCTGACTACTCTTTGACTGAAGAAATACTTCCTAGCATCCCTTTGACTCATCCGAGTCTTCAACTTCCAATTGTGACCTTGTTTCTGTGTCCATCTCTGGAACATCCTCTGTCCACCTTGTCTATTCCACGCAGTATTTTGTATGTCATTATCATGTCTCCCCTAACCCTCCTGTCCTCCAGTGTTGTCAGCCCGATTTCCTCTTTCTTTCGTAGGACATTTTCCTTAGCTCTGGAATTAATCTTGTCGCAAACCTTTGCACTTTCTATAATTTCTTGACGTGCTTGATCAAATGTGAGTTCCAAACTGGTGCTGCGTACTCCAGTATGGGCCTGACGTATACGGTGTACAGTGTCTTGAACGATTCATTACTAAGGTATCGGTATTCACCTAGCTGAGGTTGCAGGGGTCGAGTCCTAGCTCCTGGTCCCGCCTCTTCACTGGTCGCTACTAGGTCACTCTCCCTGAACCGTGAGCTTTATCATACCTCTGCTTAAAGCTATGTATGGATCCTGCCTCCACTACATCGCTTCCCAAACTATTCCACTTCCTGACTACTCTTTGGCTGAAGAAATACTTCCTAACATCCCTGTGATTCATCTGTGTCTTCAACTTCCAACTGTGTCCCCTTGTTGCTGTGTCCCATCTCTGGAACATTCTGTCTTTGTCCACCTTGTCAATTCCTCTTAGTATTATGTATGTCGTTTATCATGTGTCCCCTATCTCTCCTGTCCTCCAGTGTCGTCAGGTCAGTTTCCCTTAACGTCTCCTCGCAGCACATACCTCTTAGCTCTGGGACTAGTCTTGTTGCAAACCTTTTGCACTTTCTCTAGTTTCTTTACGTGCTTGGTTAGGTGTGGGCTCCAAACTGGTGCCGCATACTCCAATATGGGCCTAAAGTACACCGTTTACAGGGTCCTGAACGATTCCTTATTAAGATGTCAGTGTTTTGTGTGTGTGTGTGTGTGTGTGTTGTGTGTGTGTGTGTGTGTGTGTGTGTGTGGGTGTGTGTGTGTGTGTGTGTGTGTGGTGTGTACACATGGGTCACAATAACAAGCCATAATACACACCTTATCGTAGAGAACGATCCAGCAATCGTTGTGGGTATCATGACTGGCAACTTCGCTCAGAGAGATGATGTTAAGACCAGACTCTTCATCCTTCTGGCGTTCACGCCCCGGGCAAGAGTCAGTGGTGACGCAGGGGTCGCGGTAGCCAAGAGTTTGAGATGCAAACTCAAAGACCTGAGTAGAGAAGTTAATGATGGCCTTAGTCTGACGCATGTAGAGAGGCAGCCCACCGTGTGATTCTTTCATCCTGGCTCCTGCAGGTAAGACAACTTGGTTAAGGACAGGAAGAAAGTGTTTTTAATTATTTAAATACGTATTTGCTCTTTATACATGGAAATATAATAAAAAACAGATTAAATTTTGTCTATGTCAGCCTTGCACCAAGGCCTTCTGCTGAAGCTAGCACGGATGCTGAAGCTAGCACGGACTGCTGAAGCTAGCACGGATTGCTGAAGCTAGCACGGACTGCTGAAGCTAGCACGGATTGCTGAAGCTAGCACGGACTGCTGAAGCTAGCACGGATTGCTGAAGCTAGCACGGATTGCTGAAGCTAGCACGGACTGCTGAAGCTAGCACGGACTGCTGAAGCTAGCACGGACTGCTGAAGCTAGCACGGATTGCTGAAGCTAGCACGGATTGCTGAAGCTAGCACGGATTGCTGAAGCTAGCACGGATTTGGCTGCACAGCTAAGCACGGATTGCTGGAAGCAAGCACGGATTGCTGAAGCTAGCAAGATCTGCTGAAATATGCAGTATTTAAGTTATTTTCAGTTTTATTATTACAGTTAGAATTCGTTTGTGTGATATATTCTGCGTGTAATTACAATGTCACAACTTGAACATTCAATACTCTAATAAACAAGTATTAGATAAAATAATCCATCTCATTTTTTTTTTGTTTTTTACGGCAGAGCCAACACGTCAGAACCGAAAAAGGGCCTGATTTTGATTCCCCAAACATGATGAGAACTATGGGCAAAGTTTGTCTTCACAGCTGTTGCGGGGGTGTTAGTCAACTGTTGTGGGTCGCATCCTGGGCAGTGGTATATTCCAGAGTCAGGCTTTGAAATAGGCCAAGTTACACTAACGGCCCAAGTCCTATAAAAATGGACCGTGTAAAAAAAATTAGAGGGAAATTTACCAATAAGTGGTCGACTTCAGCTGGTGTACACATTAATAAACTTGCCGAAGTTCACTTATAAACTGGTCTAAAATCTTCCGAAGAATTAATAACCTATCTTAAATAAACTCGTTCCCGCTTTTACACTTAAAAACTTTGCTAAGTATTATACACTGGAAACCGATACTATTTATAACCGCTGGTTGTCCACTGACCACATTCCAAGAGGATATCGACTTCTACATTAGTAGTAAACAATTTAAACAAAGCAGCATTATCTCGATGTTAACAACACATTTCAGTCACTGCAAGAAGCAATCTGCTGATACCAACCTTTCTGTCTGGAAAAACTTCGAAATGATTGTATTGGGAGGTGTGTGAGACAACGACTGGTGGAGGTGCTGTGTGTAGTGCCTCTCCTAGCTCACTGAGTAAGTCGTTGTTCCTCACCCCGTTAAATACTATCATGTGGGTGACGACACTCTGAGCTGGGTTGCAAGACACGACTCGGCTCCTCCCACCAAACACACCCAGCAACCCTTCACCTCTCTGGTCGTCCATACCGTAGTGACTAGACTATGACTGGGAAAGTCAGATGCCGAATTCTTGTTTACTTATATTCATACGTAACGAAATGACAGGGAGAAAAATGTTAGCAGGTCGAGTGTATTTACCTGGTGGTTACACCAGGTTAGAATCCACGTGAGGAATCCTGTGCCCTGGGCTGGGTATAATACCCCAACCGACTAAAACACCAATAGGAGACGAGTAAGCAGGGGTGTGGCACACTCCTGATTGGTCAGACTAACATCGTACTATTTGGAACACTTCCAAACTTGCGAAAGTAGTTTTATGAGTGTAACGCGACACAGGGGTGACGCACACTGTTTACACTTCATAGAATGAGTAGTACATCATCATACGCAAAACAGAATTACAGGCGATGAGCACCCGCAGCTCAGTGGTGAGAGCATGTGGCGCTGCAGTGAGAGTCCATGTGTACACATTGGTTATTCCACTGCCTAACCACCCCTATGGCGGAAGAAATCTTCCCTTCTGCAATATTCTGGGAAAATTCAGTACTTAAGACAACTTCAGTAACTACCAACACTGAATTTATTTTCCTTAAATTCCAATACCTGGAGTTCAGCTGGAGAGGTTTTCGGGGGTCAACGCCCCCGCGGTCCGGTTTGAGACCAGACCTCGTGGTAGATCAGGGTCTGATCAACCAGGCTGTTATTGCTGGCCGCACGTAAACCAACGTAAGAACCACAGCCCGGCTGATGAGGTACTAAGTGCCTGTCCAGCACCTTGAAGACAGCCAGGGGTTTATTAGTAATCCCTCTTATGTATACTGGGAGGCAGTTGAGCAATCTTGGGCCCTTGGCACTTATTGTGTTGTCTCTCCGCGTACTCGTGGCGCCCCTGTTTTTCACTGGGGGAATGTTGCATCTCCTGCCGAGTCTTGCTTTCGTAAAGAGTGATTTTCGTGCGCAGGCTCGGTATTAATCCCTCTAAGATTTTCAAAGTGTATATTATCATGCATCTTTCTCGTCTGCATTCCAGGGAATACAAATCAAGGGACTTCAACCGTTCTCAGTAATTTATGAGCCATATCGTACTTATATGTGCCGTGAAAGATCTCTGTACATTCTCCAGGTCAGCAATTTCGCCAGCCTTGAAGATGGTAGTTAGTGTACAACAATATTCCAGCCTAGAGAGAACAAGTGATTTGAAGAGAATCATCACGGCCTTGGCGTCCCTAGTTTTAAATTCAAATTCAAATTCACATTCAAAGTTTATTCTCTATAAGGATTACAATGCTGAGTTTACAGAATTTGGTTATTGTGTGGTTTACATGTAGTAAAATAATAATTACAGAGTGTACCACTAAAACACCTAGCATGGCTAGGCATTTCGGGCAGACTTAGATTAAATTTTAAGTTTAAAATATTACAAAATTATGAGGTAAGTTGGTATTATGGCTAAGTGACTAAATACTAGTTTGTGAATTTAGCAATGTGAATGCTTTTGTTTCGGCACTATACATAGTTTCAGTACTGGAGTATCACAGGCCAACTTATGACTAGTTAAGATTCATTATTTTGAGATTGAGATTGATATTTCTGTTTATGGTCAAATGGGTGAGTGAGTGTAAGTGTGAACCACCAGGTGGTATTCGTATTATTAGTTGACAGGGTGTATCAGGGAGATAAGATGTTTTCTGATGGTAGTTTTGAAGGTGATGAATGGTCTGCTTTAGATTTCGTAGGGTGTTCCAGA